ACACCTGGTAAGTAGAGACACCTGGTAAACAGGGACACCTGGTAAATAGAGACACCTGGTAAGTAGAGACACCTGGTAAGTAGAGACACCTGGTAAATAGAGACACCTGGTAAATAGAGACACCTGGTAAACAGGGACGCCTGGTAAATAGAGACACCTGGTAAATAGAGACACCTGGTAAGTAGAGACACCTGGTAAATAGAGACGCCTGGTAAATAGAGACACCTGGTAAGTAGAGACACCTGGTAAACAGGGACGCCTGGTAAATAGAGACGCCTGGTAAATAGAGACACCTGGTAAATAGAGACACCTGGTAAGTAGAGACACCTGGTAAATAGAGACACCTGGTAAGTAGAGACACCTGGTAAACAGGGACACCTGGTAAGTAGAGACACCTGGTAAGTAGAGACACCTGGTAAATAGAGACACCTGGTAAATATAGACACCTGGTAAGTAGAGACACCTGGTAAATAGAGACACCTGGTAAATAGAGACACTTGGTAAATAGAGACACCTGGTAAGTAGAGACACCTGGTAAGTAGAGACACCTGGTAAATAGAGACACCTGTAAGTAGAGACACCTGGTAAACAGGGACGCCTGGTAAGTAAAGACACCTGGTAAATAGAGACGCCTGGTAAGTAGAGACACCTGGTAAGTAGAGACACCTGGTAAATAGAGACACCTGGTAAGTAGAGACACCTGGTAAACAGGGACGCCTGGTAAATAGAGACGCCTGGTAAACAGGGACACCTGGTAAATAGAGACACCTGGTCAATAGAGACACCTGGTAAACAGGGACGCCTGGTAAGTAGAGACACCTGGTAAATAGAGACACCTGGTAAGTAGAGACGCCTGGTAAATAGAGACGCCTGGTAAATAGAGACACCTGGTAAATAGAGACACCTGGTAAATAGAGACGCCTGGTAAATAGAGACACCTGGTAAATAGAGACACCTGGTAAATAGAGACGCCTGGTAAGTAGAGACACCTGGTAAGTAGAGACACCTGGTAAATAGAGACACCTGGTAAATAGAGACACCTGGTAAATAGAGACACCTGGTAAATAGAGACACCTGGTAAATAGAGACACCTGGTAAGTAGAGACACCTGGTAAGTAGAGACACCTGGTAAGTAGAGACACCTGGTAAATAGAGACACCTGGTAAATAGAGACACCTGGTAAATAGAGACACCTGGTAAATAGAGACGCCTGGTAAATAGAGACACCTGGTAAGTAGAGACACCTGGTAAACAGGGACACCTGGTAAGTAGAGACACCTGGTAAATAGAGACACCTGGTAAGTAGAGACACCTGGTAAACAGGGACGCCTGGTAAGTAGAGACACCTGGTAAGTAGAGACACCTGGTAAATAGAGACACCTGGTAAGTAGAGACACCTGGTAAATAGAGACACCTGGTAAGTAGAGACACCTGGTAAATAGAGACACCTGGTAAGTAGAGACACCTGGTAAACAGGGACACCTGGTAAGTAGAGACACCTGGTAAGTAGAGACACCTGGTAAATAGAGACACCTGGTAAATAGAGACACCTGGTAAATAGAGACACCTGGTAAATAGAGACACCTGGTAAGTAGAGACACCTGGTAAATAGAGACACCTGGTAAATAGAGACACCTGGTAAATAGAGACACCTGTAAGTAGAGACACCTGGTAAACAGGGACGCCTGGTAAGTAAAGACACCTGGTAAATAGAGACGCCTGGTAAGTAGAGACACCTGGTAAGTAGAGACACCTGGTAAATAGAGACACCTGGTAAGTAGAGACACCTGGTAAACAGGGACGCCTGGTAAATAGAGACGCCTGGTAAACAGGGACACCTGGTAAATAGAGACACCTGGTAAATAGAGACACCTGGTAAACAGGGACACCTGGTAAGTAGAGCCACCTGGTAAATAGAGACACCTGGTAAGTAGAGACGCCTGGTAAATAGAGACGCCTGGTAAGTAGAGACACCTGGTAAATAGAGACACCTGGTAAATAGAGACGCCTGGTAAATAGAGACACCTGGTAAATAGAGACACCTGGTAAATAGAGACACCTGGTAAATAGAGACGCCTGGTAAATAGAGACACCTGGTAAGTAGAGACACCTGGTAAATAGAGACATCTGGTAAATAGAGACGCCTGGTAAATAGAGACACCTGGTAAGTAGAGACACCTGGTAAGTAGAGCCACCTGGTAAGTAGAGACACCTGGTAAGTAGAGACACCTGGTAAATAGAGACACCTGGTAAATAGAGACACCTGGTAAATAGAGACACCTGGTAAATAGAGACACCTGGTAAGTAGAGACACCTGGTAAGTAGAGACACCTGGTAAATAGAGACACCTGGTAAGTAGAGACACCTGGTAAATAGAGACACCTGGTAAATAGAGACGCCTGGTAAATAGAGACACCTGGTAAGTAGAGACACCTGGTAAACAGGGACACCTGGTAAGTAGAGACACCTGGTAAATAGAGACACCTGGTAAGTAGAGACACCTGGTAAACAGGGACGCCTGGTAAGTAGAGACACCTGGTAAGTAGAGACACCTGGTAAATAGAGACACCTGGTAAGTAGAGACACCTGGTAAATAGAGACACCTGGTAAGTAGAGACGCCTGGTAAGTAGGGACGCCTGGTAAATAGAGACACCTGGTAAGTAGGGACGCCTGGTAAACGGACACCTGGTAAATAGAGACACCTGGTAAATAGAGACACCTGGTAAATAGAGACACCTGGTAAACAGGGGCGCCTGGTAAATAGAGATGCCTGGTAAACAGGGACGCCTGGTAAATAGAGACGCCTGGTAAATAGAGACACCTGGTAAATAGAGACACCTGGTAAACAGGGGCGCCTGGTAAATAGAGACGCCTGGTAAACAGGGACGTCTGGTAAATAGAGACACCTGGTAAATAGAGACACCTGGTAAACAGGGGCGCCTGGTAAACAAAGCACATCTCGTCGCCTTCACAGCGCAAAGTTCGAAGCGAAATTCACATCTCCCGCAATCTTTATTCGAAGGACGGGGTTTTCCATTGCTCGTCGCGTATTTGATCCGTGTGATTTTGTTTTCCTATCCAATAGATGATCGATGACACTGGTCTACAATTTTTAAGATGTCGTCTGCTTCAGAGATGATATGTGCTGTTTATTATGGATTTTGATGTGCTGAATTCAAATATGACAATTAAAACAACTGATTGTTTACTGTTCCTAAGATATTTAAGTTTTTACATTTTACATCTATGTATGTTGTGTAGATAGTCGAGTTTTACTCATAAATTGTAAACCTAGGTCTTTTCGTGTTTATGGTTGCTTTACATGATACCAAGTCACCTGTCCTGTTCATGTAACACTTTAAACATCAGCAAGAGGGTTATATAGATAAAATGTATCATGAAACTAGAGGTAAAAAAACTATTGTGTATATATAAGTGCATAGTTTAGTCCTTATTTAGTGTCTACTCAGCGCTGCTTGGCTTGTCTCTTGTATTCATTAAATGGAGCGTATCTTGTCACTGTCCAGCAATAGTCTGCAAGCATTGATGGGCTCCATTTGCCCTGTTAGCGTTTCTCCATTGTCGCAATGTCCTGGTGACATCGCTCGCCATGCTCGTCGCTCGCTGTTCCACAGTTCGGTGGGGAAAAATCTAGATGAGTGCAACATTTTTATCTTGAGTGACATGTTGCAACAAAGGCTTTTGTATGCCTTGATGAGGTTTTACACCAACTCCCTGTAGTTGTCTGCCCTGTTGTTTTCGAGAAAATGTTGCCACTAACCGTGGAAGGCTTTCCGTGCCGTCTTTTCCTTGCCACGCAGTGTACTGTCAAATGCATCATCTCAAAGAAGTTCACGAATCTGAGGACCTTGGAAATTTTCCACGGAGGTACTTGAAAGCCGCTTGTGTTTTGTCAATGGCTTTGACGAAGTTCTTCATCAGACGCAGCTTGATGTGTAAGGGTGGTAACAAAATCTTCCTTGATTCAACACTTTTCTTCCCAGGCTCCAATGACTGGCAGAGTGGCCAATCTATCTTGATGTAGTGGGAATCTCTCGCACGACTATCCCATTCGCAGAGAAAACAGCAATTATCCCTTCGGCTCTGCCACGCCCCTTTTCCCGAGCTCTCTCCTGTTGGAGATCTCCTCTGCCTCACTATAACGCCTCGGGGGTTCCATGTCCACCCCCGCGCTGACTAACCCAGTTACCTCACTTGACCCTGCCTGTCCTCATCGCTGCAATCATTATTTACGGCCACTAGGCCCCGTACTGTCCTTACACCTGTATGTATGTTGAATTTCTTTCGCACCCTACGAAGGGAAACCGTGCTAATCGGAGGTGCGGGACGTCAGAGGTGCGGAATATAAAAGTCTCCCAAACTATTTTTTTATGCACACCGCGTTTAATGCTGTCCGTCTCTGTAACATAAGAAAAGGAACCGTTGAGAAAAGTCCCCGTACACACGTGTCTGGTGTTTTTAGAAGGGCCGGGATGGCGTACCATCGTGTACTACCTCATCGCAACCGCTGTTAAGTAGAATGTGTGGTCGATGGTAGGGAAACTTTTCATAAACTTTGCTTGCATGTCGTGGTCCTTATACTTTCTTAGTGATCTTCGTGAACAATTGATAACCGCGCAGCACAGATGGCTGGGGAAAGGAAGTCCCAGACTATGGATGCAACAGAGGAGAATGAGCGACCTCCTTACTGCCTACGAAGCCCCCCTTTCAACCTTGTACATTCACAGTATATGTTTATTTATATTGACGGTGGAGTGTCGACAAGAGTGGCTGCACTCTGTGCCGTGGACCTATCAACCCGCGGTGAATTCCTGCCCGCAGATAACTGACATCGGTGATTTCGCGACGCAAATGACAAACGAGGCGTAACCGCCGAACCAAACGCACGCTCCAACCAAACCGAGGAGCTGCCACTCATCACCGCCGTCCCCACCGTGATCCGTGGCCTCCCCTCCTTCCCATCCGATTCGATTTGCAGCGCCGAGCGATGAGCAGCACTCGCGGCGACGGCGACGGCACCTCCACGAAGTCCAACGCCTTCTTGCACGTGCTGCACGACGGCCTCACGCTGCACGCGCTCCCCGGCGAGGACGCCAACGGCGGCGGCGTCCCGGGGGCCGGCGATCCGGCCGTGCCGGCGGCGACGCCGCGGCAAGCGCGCCCGTCGGCGCGGCCCCTCGCCGTGTTCCTGCCGTGGCTCGGCGCGCGTCCGCAAGCCGCGCAGCGCTACCGCGACCTGTACCATGCCCTGGGCATGGACGTGTTCACCGTGGAGAGCCACGTCGGCCACTTCCTGTGGCCGCGCTCGGGGATCGTGCGAGCGCGGCGCGTGCTGGAGCTGCTCACGACGGAGGCCCGGCTAGCGGGAGGCGACGGTACGCGGGCACGACGGTGACGGGCACACGCGTGTGGGTGCGTGCTCGTGCGTGTGGGTTTTGTCGTGACTAGGCGTCGTACTCCTGCGTGGGACGCGTCTGCTGCGGTGCGGCGGTCGCCACACCTCGGCTTGTAAATCCAGAGGTCGCCGGAATCGATTCGATTCTCGCTGCTCGACAGTTGAAGCAATGCTCAGGATTTCTTTCCGTCAATGAGTACGATTGAGAACCTTGTTTAATATAGGGCTGAAGTCAAATAATAATTATATATATATATCTCAGGCAATAAAAACATCGAATGGGTTAGGTTGAATGACAGCAGGACATTCCAGTGTGATAAACATTACAGTCAATGTCAACTTACATCCCTGTGTTGTTATTGCGCCGTACACGGCGACACAGCACTGGCTTGCAAATGTGCATGGGCCTGTCAGTATTCGTGTGAAATCCAAATTGGGTGATGCCAAAAGTCGTGCTAACGTAGCCGCAGTATTAACCGGGGCAGCCGGTGGTTTGAACCGCAAAACCTCTGCAACAAGTAGCAAAGCGCTACCGCTTGGCCTCATCACCGGCCATCTTCCACACCTGCAAGGTTTTTTGTTTGTTAGTTTAGTCCAGGGTGGCTGCCGCACACCCCCTTCCCCCACCACCCAACCCCATTCCTCGTCACCCCGGATGATACTGGTTGAACTTCTTTCGCACCTCATTAGACCTTTGCCAGTACCAAAGTATAATAATAGGGGGTTTTCCCCTTTTTTCTGGCAACAAAACTGAAACCTTTTTACGAGGATTCATGTTACTGCATTAACCACTACTTGCAGTCAAAATGCAAACAAAAAACATACTATGATAATATGATGCATTGTCCTTGAAACTGATTGGTCCACACCAAGGGACTGCTTTCTTTTGAGCCTCGACCCATTTGGTACGCCTTTTGGCGTCATCTGGTCGAGCACCAATTGGGTCGAGGCTCAATAGAAAGCCGTCCCTTGGTGTGGACCAATCAGTTTCAAGGACAATGCATATATTATCATAGTATGTTTTTTGTTTGCATTTTGACTGCAAGTAGTGGTTAATGCAGACATGAATCCTTGTAAAAAAAGGTTTCAGTTTTGTTGCCAGAAAAAAAGGGGAAAACCCCCTATTATTTATTTCGCACCGTACGTAGCCAACCGTCCTGATGGGTTGTTCCCGCGTTGCTCCGCAGGCTCGCTGGAGGGCGGCCGCCCCCTCTACGTGCACGCCATGTCGGTGGGCGCCTACACCTTCAGCCTCATGCTGCTCGTCGCCCAAGGCGAGCCCGCGCGCTACGGCGCCATCATCCGCCGCGTCCGCGCCCAGGTGTTTGACAGCATGGTCGCCGGCAGCCTCGAACACATGGCCAAAGGTGCGTGAGTGAGCCCGGCTCTCCATTCGTGAATGTGCGGGTTGGTGGATGACGCGGATTCGTGAAACTTGCTTCCTACCCGCAGGCATCGAGGTGAGCCATCCTCCTGGCATGCCAGGGTACGATGGCAGTGCAGCAAGTGGATTCATTACGTGTTGTGGTTGTGGTGTTGTCGTTGGGGCGTTTGTTTACCTGCGCAGGTACAGGAGCCGTGATACGGTAACACTCCGGTTTACGTCGGGGATGCGTTCCTGAAATGTGCGATGACGAACATTGAAACGACATGAATCATAGCAATTTATAGGGTAGTAGGTGGAGGCGAAGGCTGAGAAGCGATGGATACGCAAAAGAACAGATGATGCTGTCAGCGAAGTGTAGGGTTGAGGCAATGAAAATCGGGTAGCGATTTTCATTGCCTCAACATAAATCGGGTGTAACTGTTGTAGTGATAGAAGAGTGATGAGGATCGACTTAACCCTTTCCCGCTCCGAGACGTCTGCAAGTTGCAGGGTGGTGTCCCATTCACCGCTGAATCTCGGAACGCGCAAGCGGTTCAGCGTTAATTTGATTTAGAGAGGCGTAGCGCCGTTGTTGTTAAAGACATTGTACTCGCCGCAGAGAACTGTAGCGACACGACCGCACTCTACGATAGCTGGCGCCAGAACTGTGCCACACGCCCTCCCGCATGGCATTGTGGGAGACACAGTACCGCTAAAGTTATTTTATTTTAGTTTTTATTCCGGTTTCGTTTTGATGATGTACACATACGTCATCGGAACGGGCAAGGATTCAAGAGGGCTGTGCATGTACATCGCCCCCGTCAGAGCCTCACGCACTCCGCGGCCTCTTTTCTGTCCCGCGCACGCGTTCGTCCCAGGCGTCTCGGTGACCTCCATGCCCTCCTACCTCAGCGGCCTCACCTACTGCTCGACGCTGGCCTACTTCAACCTGCTGCGGCCCTACACGGTGGCCTACTACGAGGAGGCCCTGGCGGCGTTCAAGAGGGGGCTCTGCCACGCGCCCGCCCTCGTCTACTACTCGCTGGACGACAGGTTGAGCGACGCCGCCGTGGTGGACGCCACGGTGGACGGCTGGCGCGACCGCGGCCAGGAGGTGTCGTCGGTGTGCTGGGACAAGTCCCGGCACGCGGCGCACATGCGTACGCACGAGAGCGAGTACCTGGCGGCGCTGTACAGCTTCATGGCGGCGCGCGGGGTGCGCCCGCTGGCGCCCGCCAAGTTGTGAGCCGGAGGAGGGAGACGAAAGGGGGGGGTGGGAGATTGCGCGCGAACGAATGGTCAGCGGGATGGTGCGGTTGATCGATTCGGTCGTTTCGACCGCCGGGTTTATTTTTGAATTCGTTCTGAGCGTCCGTTTGATCGTTCGTACGATTGTTTGAGTGCCCGATTGACCAATTCCGCCGTTAGATGGGCAGTTCGATCGGTCGTTTGAGCTGCTCTCTTGTCATTAGTTTTGATCGTGTTCCTGATCACTTGTGTGACATTGATGTTTGATCCTTTTGCTCGGTTGTCATTTGGATGTCATTCGAATCAGCATCGTTCGATCGCTCGATTGTTACAAATCGCTCATTTGATCGTCGTCCATTCGATTTTCTTGATCGTCATTATATAACAAAGCGCGTTCCACGTTATAACGACACGCGTTCCCCGTTGTGCGAAAAGTGTTCCCGAATGGAAGAACCGTGTTACAGTCCAAACGCGTTATAGTGTGAACAGAAACGCGTTAAGCGAGGACTTGCCGTACTTAACACTGATCAGTGCGGGTTGGTACAGGAGTTAAAGATTGGGACGTTGGCCCAGGATGCACTGCTCCCTACTGACAACGAAATCGAAGAGGCGTTTAGAAAAAAAAATTCGCTGGGTCATTGGTCAAGTCTCAGTCGGTCAGCTACCGCCTCTCCCGGTTGTTCACTTCGTGCATTCATCTCCGAGCAATGGGAAGAACTGCGGTAATGGGGTGACCAGGTCAGCTCGTGGTAGTTATTTTATTGACGACAGATACCCGCATCGGTCAAGAGGTTGAAGCACCAGCCCCCACTTCTAACCCCATGCCAACGGTGGACCTACATTGCACGTTTACCGGACACCTCTCATTTTAATACACCGCATCAACTAAAAGTGGCCTGCCGGCCAAGTGGTTCGGCGGTCAGAGCAGTGAGCTAAGCGCAGTTGAGACCTGAGTTCCGGAGTCTGGGTTTCAGCCGTCCGTGATTAAACCGGGGCCTTCGCGTACAGGTGAGTTTATGGTCGTAGCGCCAGTCACCAATTGCTGCACACGGAAACCCATCACATTATACTTCATTCGATTTGGCACTGCCAACTCCTGAGAATTAAATACACGGGAAACCCTTGCCAATTCACTCAAAGGCATTGTGGGAAAACTCGCGGTTTGGTTCACGGTTCGTAATACGACACCCACCCCCTCTTTTGTTTTATGTTACCCTACATCAACCTAAACATTTGATGTCAAATATATTTTCTTGCGTTAAATATAACTTGTGTGGTCAATGTATAGTGTTTTTTTTCACATTAGTGTACACTTACTGTACGCTACAGGAAAAAAAAACTCGTGCGACTGAACCTCACTGTCTCCTCACCGGAGGCTGGGAACACCACGTGGCCTGGGGTCCGCGATGGGCCGCTCGCCAGACATGAAGGAGACAACGAGTTTGTTATTCCGCTGCAGCAGCAGCAGCATTGCGAGCAGCGCAGTTACGATGCATGGAGGAATCTCGCGGTCAGTCGCCGATTGGTCGAGCCACAGGGGCGCGATTGGCGAACTACCTCAAATTTGGCGTAAAGCCGCAATGGCTATAACCCGCGAGAGGGCAGGGTTTGCTGTATATACAAATATTAGTTTGGCTTAACATGCGATGGATGTTCTCTCACAGCAGGGCATGCGCCCCCTAGTGTGTGTGGATGAGACGTTTCTTGAAGGGACATCACTTTCGGTTGTCGCCGTCATGCTGATGTTCAGCTCTCGGATATGTGCGATTCTGTGCTTGTGTTCAATATGACGATGTTCCGACGTTTCACTTGAGGAACTGTAGTCCCCGCTGGGATCGAAACGTCGGACATCGTGCCAAACTACACGCGGTCCGACCCAAAAGCACACCAGAGAGTCTGCGGTGTTAATGGTCCTCAGGAGTCCAGTAGTTCCGTGCAAAAACATATAATCCTGCCGGCCATTCTCTAAACCAGTGTTCTAATTGCAAGGTCCGCAGGCCACTAGCGTCCCCTGGGTGGCCTTTAGTGTGGCCCCTGACATGCGGCCCCCCCCCCACCCCCCGACAGTACACAACAAGTGAGAGAACACTCCTTGCATGCGGTGTGACGGCCCTTGCGCTGCTGATCGGCGAAAGTGGCTCCCCGTTTAAAAACGAGTGAAGAACATTGCCCCTGAACACTGAGCGGTGATGCACTCGCTGCTCGCCAAGTGATTCCCACTGATGACCCTGAACCCAGTCGTGGAAAATTGGAGATATTAAAATGTAAGGTCCCAGTGTCTCTACAGAATTCCCACTGGTACGAAAATACTTGAGGGGGAATATCTAACAATGCTGAGTTGTTTTAACGGGGTCCGTGATTGGGAAATTGTGGAGTTTTGAGTAGTGGACAAATCTGTACCTCGTTGAACTATTTCAGGCTGTGGTTACATTTCAGATGATAGCCATTTGTCTATAGACACGCACGCAAAACACTTGGGAGAATTATCCTTTTTCTCTCTTTTTCAAGTTTAATTTACTTCCTTTGACAATGTCAGTTTTATCAGCGTGTTAAGTGTTGTAAAATGTCTTGAGTTTTTTGGACTGTTTATACATTATTGCCGTAACCAGCAGAGTGCAGTTGGCACAAGTGAAGTGTGCAATAATTCCACAGCACTTAGCAATATGCACTGATTGTAACCCGTTTGGCTCGATGGGAGTGTGTACGTTTGTTGCTTTTACACGCACACACGTAGAGAAAAAAATATATTCTTGAACGTTTTTAAGAGCCATTTTTAGTGTACAAATGATGATCAACGTATTTTCTCTAGTTTAACACGTAGGCTTTCGCGACCAATATTATTCATAATAAAGGTTTTTGGGTTAGATCGCGTTTATTTATAAATGTGTCGCAACCCTCCACCACCCGACACGGCCAATCAGCAAAAAAAAAGTGTCACGTTGACAAAAGACAAATAATTCACTACTTCAGCCCACCGGTGTGTTGAAGAGTTAATCCACATTTACAGTTTGAGATTAAAGATATTAAACTTACTCCTGATGATATTCTGGTAAGTTTTGATGTTATTTCTCTATTCACTAAGGTTCCAGTGGACGAATCGCTTAAATTACTTGATACACTAGTAAAGAATACCGGTTTACAAAAAGATATTCCGAAACTTGCTGGCCATTGTTTAAATAACACTTACTTCTTATGGAGAGGGGATTTCTTTAAACAAAAGGAAGGAGCAGCAATGGGTTCTCCTTTATCCCCTGCTATAGCAAATTTGTACATGGAAAACTTTGAAATAAGAGCACTTGCCTCGAGCACATTAAAACCATCCTTTTGGTTTAGGTATGTGGATGACACTTTGGTTGTCTGGCCACATGGTAAAGATACACTTAATGATTTTATAAATCATCTCAATGCACAAAACCCGGCCATCCAGTTCACCATGGAAATGGAGGTGAATAACACACTCCCATTCCTAGATATTTTGCTTGGACATGGCCTAAACGGTAAAATAACACACAGCGTTTACAGAAAGCAAACGCACACTGATGCCTATCTGAATGCAGAATCACATCATCATCCAGCTCAAAAATCCTCTCTTATCAAGACGCTCGTACATCGGGCGAAAACGGTGTCAGATGGTGAGAGTCTAGTGAGAGAGATTAAACACGTTAAAGACGCACTACGACAGAATGGCTACAATAATGCTCAAATTAACAGAGCACTGAATGCCAAATCACGATCGCAAAGCAATACTACTGAAAGCGACCAGATTGTTAAAACAATAAAAATTCCATATATCTCAGGAGTAACTGACAAATTAGCCCGCGTTTTGCAAAAGCAAAACATTACAGTAAGATTTGGTACAGTACACAAAATTCAAAAACTAGTATCTTGCACTAAAGACGCATTACCTAAACTATCAACAGAAGGTGTATATCGGATTAATTGTTCATGTGGCAGCTGCTACATTGGGCAGACGGGACGTAACATCAGCGTAAGACTAAAAGAACATCAGAGAAATATTAAATTATCTCAAACACAACTGTCGGCAGTGGCAGAACATGCTTGTCAACAAGGACACTCAATTGATTTTGACAATGTTGCAGTGGTGTGTAAAACTAATTATTACTGGCAAAGACTAATTAGAGAATCCATTGAAATTGAGAGGAACAAGAATAACTTTAATCGCTCTGACAGCTACCGGCTTAGTGCGGCCTGGAAGCGTATTATTAAATAATACACATTACATTTTGATTTAAAGAATTACTAATCTACAACTCATTACTAATCATAACCAATGACTGATTACTAATCGATTATATAATTACATTACCCCCCCCTCCGCCTCTAATCACTGCACCTGATGAGTTAAGTGATGACGTCACCCTGCTGCTCTATATAAAACCGGGAGCAAGCGAGGGCTTTACCATTCTGGCGAATTGCCCGATGATGCTGGAAGTATTTACCAGCGAAACGTCGTACTCAAACTGTAAATGTGGATTAACTCTTCAACACACCGGTGGGCTGAAGTAGTGAATTATTTGTCTTTTGTCAACGTGACACTTTTTTTTTTGCTGATTGGCCGTGTCGGGTGGTGGAGGGTTGCGACACATTTATAAATAAACGCGATCTAACCCAAAAACCTTTATTATGAAGTATTTTCTCTATATAAACTAAAATATTCCTTTCGAAGTGATAATTTTGTCTTGCGGTTTTGTGATGTCGGTGAGACGATGCTGGTTGGGTGGTATTTATTAGACAGGTTGGCAAATTCTCTTTCAGAGCAGTACGGAAAGGTTCTGAGCCATTGATGTTCCCGATGCTTAGTGATACAATTGCTGCTTTTGCTTCGAATTTTGCAAGTAGATGGCTCCGTGGTTCAGTGGCCATCACGCTCGATTTACAATCCAGATGTCACCACTTCGATTTCCCGGCGCGGCAGTTGAGACAGTGGTGCAGGTTTATTCAATCTCCACCCCTCCCCCCGCCTCTGCCCACCATGCTCATTTAAATCCTTTTGTGTTTAGTTTGTTGTCGTCCCCCCGCACCTCCGATTAGCACGATCGGCTGCGTACGGCGCGAAAGAACTTCTACATACATGCGTACATGTAGCAGCGTAAATGGTTCCGTCACCACGGTAAAGTCCTTCGGCAGGTAGCGTGTGCCAGGGTGAAGCGTGGTCACTTCCTTGTCGAGGCGTGCGGCCAGCGTGGGAGATAAGCCAAAATTTCCTCTAGAGGTGGTGGTGGGGGGGGGCATTTTCGCAGAAAAGACATCATCAGTGTAAGGGCCGCCACACATTTGAAACCATTGGGGTTTGACAGCAGCACGATGATGTGTGTTTTCACTTGTTGTGTATTGTCAGGGGCCGCACTAAATGCCACCAGGGGCCGCGCAAGTGGCCCGCGGGCCTTGCGATGAAGAACGCCGCTCTGGAGGCTGCGTCTCACGGAGGCCCTTCAGTGCTGGCAGACCGTGATGGACGCCACATTCGGTAACTCGAACGTCGTGCCATCGTGAACCTTCCGATGCGAGATATCACCGAGCCGAAGGGAATTCACAACCACCGGGTGATGCGGTTCTTATTGCCGCGTATACTTTGAACGGATGATAGGCTCAGGACCCCTTTTGTACCACCGTAGTAATTTTTAAAAATATATATATTTTTAAATCTCTCGTACTGCCCTCTTTACGCTTCGCGCAGCAAATTGCGGACGCTGCCGTTGACCGTGTTGCGAGCGCTGCGGCGGGGCGGGGGATAGCTGCGCCCTAATCTGGTGACCGAGATTTGATTCCCGGCATCAGTGGTGAGTCGTGGCTATATCTTGGTCGAAGGCTACGTCGGTCACAGGTGTTGCCTGACCATACTTCACCACACTGGTCAATGTGGGCTGGTAAGGCGTGACGGCGGAGGGGCTGTTTCGGAACGACTAATACACACATCAGTTGCCAGCGATGTTAGTCACGGCCGGAAATTGAATCTGGGTTTCCTGGGTTCACGGCGCAGTGCGCTAACCATTCCAACACCGACCTTTACCCACCTCTATTGACTCAGCCGTAATTGACGGCTCTGTTGCGAAGTAAAAAGCATACAGCAATAGAGATATCCAGGTATTTTTATGGCCACACCACCACCGCCGTGTGTACAGGACTGGCCTTGATAGGTGCTCGCTAACTGCGCGGCTGTTTGCTGCTTACCACAGCAGTTCCCAGGACAAATGCTGATATCGCTCGTCGCTGGTGATGTGTGTGTGCTTTGGGTACATGCACTGTAGCCGTTCTCTCCTGAGCAACGTGTAAATACATTCACGTGGAGAAAATTACATTGAAAATAAAAGATTCAATTGCGTGTTTCGTCCTCATTGGTCGAACACACAATATGTACTCTGTGCGAGCGTTGTACAAAAAAAAAACAAGAAAAATAATGCATGTACTTGTGTAACACTTTCCGGTATTCGCTTGTCCTCAGAAGTGTTGAATTAACGGTAATTAGGTTACCTTTCGAGTTTTGAGTAACCCTTAAATACATTTTCCCGGTATTGTATAGGGCAAGTCCCCAATGGCAACACGACTTTTAAACTAAAAATTCGTTTCCGTTGGATCATCTTTACCCTAGTTATCAAGGCCCCCCGTGTTGTAGATGGGCAGCGCAAATGCATGAACATTTTATTTTTACTTTGCTGGAAAAGCATTGAAAACTGTTAATGATTAAATAAAAGCAACGATTGCAACGATTAAATCTGTTCAAGTATGCATATTCACTGAGAAAAAAAATGTAAACATTGTTAATGTATTTTCACACGAGACTTCCACCTTTGTGCAATGCGGTCGAGCAATTGTGTCCACAGTTTTCCCTGTTGTGGTTGGCTGCTGTGGATAAATATATTTCATCTCCTAAACGCTTGTGGTCTGGAGTGTAATAATATTTTTTTGTTTAATTATCTAACCGCACTAAGTCTCAAGACTTGTGCAGGAAGGGTTCCTGCATTACAGTATTGGGATGTTTATACCAGTTCCTTTTTGATATCGTATGTATGTTGAACTTCCTTCGCACCGTACGTCGCCAACGGCGCTCATCGGAGGTGCAGAGTGCATTGCCTCCTTTTGGAGGAAGCTGGAAAACCCGGAGAAAAGTCGCCATGCTCACGAGTGGTTAACGCTCAAAAGGTCCACACAGATGGGGTCACAAATCCACCTTTCGGCCCGCGGGTGTTGTAGTGACGAAACACCACGAGTGATGGTGATGTCGTTGGGGTTAGTGATGGTGGCGTTGATGGTTGTCTTGGTTGTTAATGATGGTCATTTTGATGGTGGCGTTGACAGTGTTGGTGATGGTAGGTGGTGTTGATGGTAGGTGGTGTTGGTGGTGACAGTGGTGTTGGTGGGGAGTGGCAGTGTAGCGGTCAGCGCGCTGCGCTACGAACCTGGCAAACCGGGTTCACGGCCAACACCGGTGACGATTATCTGAACTGGTCCTGGGCCTCCCCTAGGTCGACTCAGCCTCAAATTAGTACCTGGTGCTGTGTGTCAACATCGCCACTGGGGAGACAAAGGCGGTCGGGCGTGGTGCTGGCCACCTACCCCCTCGTGTACCGTACCGGCCTTCATAGGTGCTCGCTAACAGCACTTGCCCCTACAGTCTAAGGCTATACGGGGGACTTCGTCTTTGTTGGTGATGGTGGGTGGTGTTGGTGATGGTGGGTGGTGTTGGTGATGGTGGGTGGTGTTGGTGGTGGCAGTGTTGAGCGTCACCTCCACGTATGCAGTGTGGATGTTTTTCCAGGGTCTCCAGTTCCCTCTTTAAAAATCCAAATGCTCGTTAATGGAACTGGCTGAGTATTGATACTCGGCCTATGTTTTATGACTTTTTAAATAACATATTACTTTTGATTTAAAGCTTTCATAACTGCAGTAATTCATATTCTTAGCTTTTTCGGTAAAGTCACGTTGAAGGGAAACAATAAAATAATAAAATATATATAAAACAAAAATTCTCACGACGTTTCGACCATAACACAAACGGTCATCATCAGGTTATATATATCTTGATGATGACCGTTTGTGTTATGGTCGAAACGTCGTGAGAAGTTTTATTGTTTTATATATATTTTATTGTTTCCCTTCAACGTGATTTTACCGAAAGAGCTAAGAATATATATTACTTTTATTATTGTTAAATTGTTATTGATTAATACTTAGTAATTTTGATTTAAAGCTTTCGTGACTGCAGTAATTACCGAAAGAGCTAAGAATACTTAGTAATTATCTACAGAAAAGTGCTAATTGTTAATCACCGCTCCCTACATTACAAACAATTCACCCATTGCATAATTGACTTTGCCACCATTGAAGGTAACGATTCTTTTTTTTTATCGGTTATATATCTTTTAAACGTTGTGGTTGACGTAATATAATTCAAGTTGATCGATTAAAAAGGAAATATTAATTTTAAAAACGCGTACTTGGATGGACACGTCGATATTAATCGACGAATTGATGCTGCGTACATCCGTTGGACCAATTACATACAATGAAAAATGGTTGGGAGTTTGAGTCAGCCTATCATCCTTCCGAAGTCGATAAACCTAGTACCGCTTTTTGTGGAAGTCAACTGAGCGTGTCCTATGGATAGACTCGTCTCCGCCAAGGGAATGTCGAATTTTCTTGACAGGTTAGCACCGCCTGCAGTGCTCACTTGAGGACGAAATAACTTTGGATTTTTCATTTTTTAACTTGGAATGTTGCGGCAACCATTTCCTGCGACGATCGTAGGCAACCGCATTGTCTTTCCCCCTGATGTACATTCGCTTCATTGCTGAACTTCGATTTCATTCGTTTTTGCTTTTGCCAATTTGATGACCCACGCCTAGCTTGCAAATGAGACTCATCCTGGTCTCTGTTAGTTCTCCGCTGGTTAAAACAGAATCAACTTGGCCACCAATAAAATAAAACGTCGGCAGTTAAAACTATTAAGTATTTTAGTTTTTTTTACCAGGTAAGGCCCACTGAGCAATATAGCTCTTTTTCAGAAGCGACCTGGCCACAAATGATAGCTTAAAGAAGTGGCTTATCATGTGGAAATTTACAGTAGCCAAAGAGTCTAATCGCACCCGGAGAAAAATCCACGCGACCACAGGGAGAACACGCAAACTCCAGATATGCAGGCGTCAGGGTCGCTCCACGACCTCCTGTACACCAGGCGATGGAGTTAACATCTCGTCACCGTGACGCGCAGGCGATAGGGTACTGCAGTTCCCATCGTAACATTAGTGCTGACAGGTTCATGCTGCGCACGGCGAGTAAACTCGACGGTACACAAAAAAAAAAACCTTGCCCGATCGCCAGTAAACCAGGCGAGGTCGTTAACATTTCGCGGTTGTGTCCAGCGCTCGCTCGCTGCGTCCGCCCGTCTGTTCGTGCGCCCGTCACGCGTTGGGCTTGGGCGGGACGTGCGACAGCGTGATGACCGACACGTTGGGCGTCTCGCGCAGCGACATGCGCGCGCGGGCGGGCGGCTCGCGCAGCTTCACGGAGAGCCCCGAGGAGCGAATCTCGTGGAAGTCGAAGGAGAAAGTGGCGAAGAGGGCGAATATGACCATGGCGAGGATCCACTCGAATATGGCCGCCTCGCTCTTGTGACCCATGAAGTTGAAGGTGAGCACTGGGCGGCGGCGGCGGCCGTGGCGGTCAAGGGATTTCCTCGAATTCCTTCCAAGTGATGTGTCTTCGTCATCATCAATATCAGCAGCAGCAGCAACAGTGCTATCAGTGTGTTTACGTTGAACTTCTTTCACACCGTACGTAGCCAACCGCACTAATCGGAGGAGCGGGGGAAGGGCAACATTCTAAACAGAAACAACAGCAGCACGACCATTTGCAGTATTATTGGTGGCATTGCCATCGTTACCATGCAGCAGCTGCTGTTGGGAGCGCAGTGCTGGTGAATAATCACCACGCTATTGTCACGGTGTTCTAATCATCAATTAGTCCACCTGAGCGAATCATGATCCGAGATTAAAAATCTCGAGGTGGCCTTTGCCACTCTCCACAACCTCGAGCCACAACCCACCACCACAATTGGGATACGCGGAGCGACAAGTTGGCTCTGGGTTCGAATCCAGGGTTTGGATCTCTCTCGGATCCGCAAGCCTGCGATTTAACCGGGTCCTCAAATGCGGTGAGCTGATGATCACGAATGACTGCACACGCAAAATCATCGCATTTAATTTTATCCTGCGTACATAATTTTGCTACATTCCAGCTCTTGCGAATTTGTAAATATCGCTTTTGACTGCCATAGGACGAGCAATTATCACGTAGAGCGGGCGTGAAAGCGCTGCCCCCTTACTGTAAAGACCAGAGGTCTTTTGAAACTTTCTTAACGATTAGCTCTTTGACATCCGCTTCCGTGGGCAAAATTCCTCGAACACTCAAAGTCTGCACTGCTCTGCACGCGATCCGAACGGATGTATTGCCCCACGTAACAAGACGATGGTCGCACAATCGCGATAATAAAAACACGGAAACTTAAAGCCGCCAAGGATACGGAGCACGGCGCTGACGGTGGATGCGGTGCTGCCGAACGCCGTGACGATGATGAGGACGCCGTGGCTGCGCCGTGCCGTTCCGCGGCCGATCCTCGCGGAGTGCAGTCGGAGCGCGAGTGCCGTCTGTATCCAGAAGTAGAGCGTGCCCACACCGAATGCCAGCACGGCGCCCACCAGGTGAGTGTTGATCTCGTTCAGCATCTGCCCCGCGACGTGAGACTCGGTGAGAGGGGAGTAGGAGGAACGGCCCTGACCATCACGGTAATTATATTGATCATTTGAACTTGGAACGATGCCGCGTAATCGCTGGAACGTATTCGCTCGCTCTCGAAGAGAGAGGGGGCAACTTGGAGGTGCGAGGAACTACAGACACCGGCGGGAAGGCAACAGCAGGGGGCTGAGCCCCTCCTAAACTGGTCAAGGTAAAATATTAGTGCGATTTTAAACACCCGTTACTTTCCATGCACACGGGAGGGGGTGAGTGGGCAACAGAACGCACGATCGACAAAAAAAACCAAGAAGCACCGTTCCTCATTCCGTTTCGGGTGTACACGTTTGTTGCAAGCGTGTTCAGGTGACAGGGGTGGACAAGGCGATGGACGTGATGGTGTCTGTTAGGGGCAATAACTACGGAGAGGCAATGCAGCGTCAGGGCGTGGCCAGGGCATGGTCAGGGCGTGGCCAGGGCATGGTCAGGGCGTGGCCAGGGCGTGGTCAGGGCGTGGCCAGGGCGTGGTCAGGGCGTGGCCAGGGCGTGGTCGGGGCGTGGCCAGGGCGTGGCCAAGGCGTGGCCAGGGCATGGCCAGGGCATGTCAAGGCGTGGCCAGAGCGTGGTCATGGCGTGGCCAGGGCGTGGTCATGGCGTGGCCAGGGCGTGGTCAGGGCGTGGCCAGGGCGTGGCCAGGGCACGTCAAGGCGTGGCCAGGGCGTGGTCAGGGCATGGTCAGGGCGTGGCCAAGGCGTGGTCAGGGCGTGGCCAGGGCGTGGTCAGGGCATGGCGAGGGCAGGTCACCTGAAAGTTCCCGACCAGCGAGGCACCCAAGGCACTAATGAGCCCAGCGGCGAGGCTAATTTTGTTGACCCAGGACCGGTCTCCTTGCTCCTCCAGAAACCTGTAGCGCGTCACGGTGATGGAACCCACTGGGGCGGGGAGGGGTCAAAGAGAGAACCGATTCACATTAAGAATGAAATCGCAGTGTTAATTACTTGGCGCGTCACGTGGGACGTGTTTAACAATCATCGTGCGCGTGCAGCGTGAAACGAGTTAATTTGTGTTTGAGCGAGGAGTAAATTGATGAGCGCGGAAAGACGTAGCGTGGTCGGTCAAGTCATTTTACATTTTTGTTGACATACTTAGCGCCTTTCTGACACAAATCTTCCACTCTTTGTTTTTTTCGGTAAAGTCACGTATAAATAAGAAATAATAAAATAACTTAATAGCGTACAACGTTTCGGTTGCAAAACAAGCAGCCATCATCAGGTATAGAAGAGCTAAATTTACGAGAGAGGGGAAACACATAACCTCATGTATATACAGACACCCAAGTAGGGGGAACTAACACAGATACAACAGGGGACACAGAGAGAGAAGCATACCAGACAAACAGGGTTTAGCAAAATTTTGGAAACCAAAATCTTCCACTCATCGATCTGGCATAACGTTAACGTTCAACATAAAATCAGAAAATCCCAAACAATGAGATATATTTACATACTATCTATAGTACTCAACTGGAGTTTGGGAAACCCTGCAGGACAATTGATGGGAAGAGCAATCGATGTGCCCGGGTGCACACAACCAGTACAGCACTGATCGCTGCGTTATTTCATGCCGTGAAAATTCAACTAAAATTGATTAAAGCACGGCCTGCCATACCTGAATAATGTGCAGGTGGCGCGCGATTGGCTGCATGGGGCATGCTTTAGCAATTAAATGTGAAGTGGAATACACATACTTGATTTGGGCCTCCTCCAAACCAACACACACACACACACGGGTATGTATACATACACACACACAAAGATCCTCCGTATAGCCTTAATAGACATTTGAAGCAAGTGCCCTTAGGGAGGACATATGAAGGCCGGCCCGGCGCACGTGTGAGTGGGTGGCCAGCACCACGCCCGACCGCCTTTGTCTCCCCAGTGGCAATGTTTACGCATGGCACAGTACAGTCTATGCAAGACAAAGGCACACACGTGTTTGGCCAAATTCGAGCAGCGTAAACATCTAGGAGGCACCCGCTATGACTGCATGAAGGATTGGAAGTTAAAGTAATTTCTGGCGGTAGGTACATGAAAAGTCCTTTGTCAATCCACTGCTGGATGAGGGCCGACCACACGCCGTGTGGGTGGTGGTGGTGATGATGATGACGGTTATGTGCCCAAACCTCAGTGTGATCCCTGGTCCGCTTGTGTTGGTGATAGCGGGCACAATAGATTTCGGTAGCTTAGACGTACCGTACAACCAATGGCTCTTTTGCTACAATTCCCCACTTGTTGCCCAACACGTGGCAGTACGTGGCATTGCAACAAGATGATGTGAACGAGAAAAAAACAAGTTGCGACCCACCGTTGGGGACAATCCGGAACGCACTGGTTAGGTGGGTAGCAGGCCACGTTAACTCTTCAACACACCGGTGGGCTAAAGTAGTGAATTATTTGTCTTTTGTCAACGTGACACTTTTTTGCTGATTGGCCGTGTCGGGTGGTGGAGGGTTACGACACATTTATAAATAACGCGATATAACCCAAAAACCTTTATTATGAATATTATGAGGCCACGTTAACTTGGTCAGCAAATTTTGAGTCTTAGTCGATGACAACCTGCGGATTTAAAAAAACAATCTCAAAGTCTGGATTTCAATTGAGTCATTCTCTGAAGACGAAGCTACCAACTCGCTCACCCATCAGCGCGCCGAAGTTGAGTAGCTGTCCGAAGATGCAGCTCTGTGGAGGATACGTTCCGCAGGTACTGCACGCAGGGTCACGCGGGGTCACACGGGGTCATGAATGAATGTAGCCAGGAGACCAGCAGGAGACAGCTCCCACTAGCCAAGCGCTATTGTCATCATCATCCGTCAACAGGCAATGCGGTGTAAATCATGATCCTTTCTAACCATAATAAAATTACTCGGATTTTAAATCTGGGTTTACTCTCCAACACACCGGTGTGCTGTACTAGTAACGAAGTGACATGTTTTGTTTACGTGACAAACCTTACTAATCGGTTGTGTCGGGTTTAACGACACATTTATATATTTACGCGAATAAACCCCCCCAAAAAAACCTGAATAAAATGTACATTCCAAAAATGTGTCATTGAAATGTGTAGCGTGCCACACAGTATTCGCTCACACGAGAAGAGAGAACGACTCGGAGGCGCGAGGAAGAACTACAGACGACGTGGGAAGGCAACAGCCACGCGATGAGCCGGCGCCAACCATTGCCCAAGATCTGCAGTACTCTATTTATGAAGATGCTATGGGCCGAGTTTATATGCGGGAGGAAATCGGAGCACGCATGCGAGTGGGAAACACCGTCCCCTACGGATGTAACCGATTGGAGTCCACATGTGCAAATGTGAATCCAACCTTAAGCCACCCAGTGAATTGACACGTGACCCATGTGGTACTTGGTGGTGGGGGGGGGTAATTCAGTTACCTGATGTACGGAAATTCTTCTTCAGGGACCACATGTTTGTTCATCACCGCCAAGCCGTATCTGCGGAGATGAGAAATTGGAATTTAAACGTCAAAAGTCTTTTGCTGCAACGGGTCAATTGTGCACGTATACCGATACACTTTTTATGTGTTTGTGATGGGGGTGTTGCATCGGTCCCTTGACCGCCTCGCAGCGAGCCTTCAATACAATTTTCCCTCGCTATATGCGGGTTTTAATTTGTGCGATTTTTTTCGCGTATAATTACCCTGCTAACCTATTGCTACCATAATAAAAAAAAAATCTATATGTTGCGTTTTTGAATGCGGTCGAACGTGGGATAATATTTTGTACTGTGTGCGTGTACTGTGTGTACTGTGTGTGTACTGTCTACTGTGTGTGCACTGTGTCCTGTGTGTGTGTGTACTGTGTGTGCGCCCCCCTAATGGAACATCTTCGCCGGTTAGAAACATTTAGGCTGGCCTGCCTACGATCCATCCTGGGTTTAACCAGACTGGATTGTGTGAGGAGCTCACAAATCCTTGAAAGATTTGGGCAAGGTCCCATCGGTGAGCTCCTCCGGCGGGCAAGGCTGCGATGGCTGGGTCATGTAGCCCACATGCCCAGCCTTCGCATGCCGAAACAGCTTTTGTTCGGCCGGATCGAGGGGGCTAAACGGGCGCGGCACGGGCTAGAGAAGAGATGGAGTGATGTGGTACAGGAGGACGTGGAGCTGAGTGGACTTGCCGATGACTGGTACCAGCGGTGTCAAGATCGGCCTCTGTGGAGGAGGCTCGTGAAGGACGCTGCTACTGGGCAGTTGGAGGTAGTCGCCCTCCAACAACAACGGAGGGCGGAGGAGCGACGCTCACAACAACGAGCGGAGCGCCGGGTGGCTAAAGCACAGTAGGTTGACACAGTAGGGGGCACAGGTGGTGCATCAGCCAGTCATCTCAGTCACTCGACCCGTGGCACCTGGGTCTGCCCCGTGACCTCCTGCCAGCGGGCGTTCGACACTCCACGTGGCCTCAAGGTGCACGTGGCCTGGCACAAGTGTCGTGGTGACGTCACCGCCACTTAGTGGCGAATGGCGGTTGTTGTTGTTGTATGTGTGTGTGTACTGTGTGTGTGTGTGCGCTACTCGGCAGGCAGCCGTCTCCTCGTGCGGTGTCGCTTTGTGCGCCCTTTTTCTTGAAACTCATCAAGCGTGGGAAATCTGTACTTGAGATGACCTCAACGTGCACCTAGCTTTGCACATGAGCCGGCTACTGGTGATCGTAGTGTAAACGACTGATGCAGTTGGTGATGTGGATAGTTTTGGTGTTGCAGGTGGTGATGATAGTGGTGGTCGTGGCGATGATTTGTGGTGGTGGTGTTGTGGTGGTGGAGATGATTTTTTTATGGTGTTGTGGTGGTAGTGTAGATGATTTTTGTTGTGGTGGTGATGGTGTTGTGGTGGTGGTGATGGTGTTGTTGTGTGGTGGTGGTGTTTTGGTGGTGGTGGTGGTGTTGTTGTAGTGGTGGTGTGGTCGTGGTGATGGTGTTGTGGTGGTGGTGATGGTGTTGTTGTATGGGTTGACGCTGTATGCGATATGCACCTCATGTTCCGTTTGCCAGATAGGGGGGGGGGTGCTAATAAATTGTGGAAAGCATGGGCACAAACAGAGGGAGAAACGTGAAGTTGAGTTGTCTTGCTGACGACGGACACCGGCTGTGTACAAGAGTGGCATCTGCGGAGGAGGCTCGTGAAGGACCCTACTGAGCAGTTGAGGCAGTGGCCCTCCAGCAACAACGGAGGGTGGAGGGGTGACACAACAAAGAGCGGACTTCTGGGTGGCGAAAATGAAGAGCAAGGCGGTACAGTGGAGAGCATCGGTGGTGCATCTGCCAGTCCATCTCGGTCCGTGAATCCCTGACACCTGGATATCTACCGTGACCTCATGTCAGCATTGCTACGACGTCGTTTCACGTGGCTTCCAAAGTGCACCGAGCCTCCCACAAGCACGGTGGTGACATCGCCGCCACCTTTTAAACAAATGGATCCTATTGTTTCTAGATTTAAAGCTTTCGTGACTGCAAGGATCCATACTCTTCGGTTCTATTCGGTAAAGTCACGTAGGTAAAAAATAAAACAACAAAAATCACGACGTTTCGGCCACAACACAAGCGGCCTTCATCAGGTGAAGGGATCAGGCTGTCTCGAGGACAGCGCTGGAGTGAAACACAGCCACGCTCAGACCGCGACCTTCGCACGTCGTGATTTTTGTTTTATTTTTTGCCTACGTGACTTTACCGAATAGAGCCAAAGAGTATGGATCCTATTGTTGTTTTTAAGTGGTAATGACGATGGTGGTGTTGGTGGCGGTGTTGATGCTATTGTAATGGTGGGCGATGGTGCTGTAGGTGATGGCGACTGATATGAATAATGCACTTACATGAGCCAGATGCTGCCAGTTGCAAAGAGCCAGAAGAATACTGGAAAGATGACCCAAAACATTGTTCCAGGTCTCCTGTTGGCAAGCAGTGATAATGACACTTTCACATCTCACATTCTCACACGTGGCTGTGTTCAAACACAGATGAAAATGACGTGTTGTCTTTTTGGAGACGACGACGATCATTATTTATTATGATGATGTGATGATAATAATAACGATCGCTTTGGGCCCTATATTCTATCACGAGAACATACGCGGGTTAAAAGGCCGCATTCTGACCGTTCTGACAATTAAGCCAAGCGGGGAAAGACGCGTCCGCTGGACGGGCTTGATGATGGTGATGGTAACAAAATATCGGCCTTGGCATGGAACGCGCCTGAGAGGATGGCACTCCGGACTCAGACCGTCTGTGTGGATGCTGAGCTTCTTTCGCACCACGCTAATCGGAGGTGCCGGGGTTAAGGAGAACAAACTAAAACGCAAAAAAAAAGCAGTTCTGAAGAGAATGAGTTTTCAATCTTACGTGATTTTTTTTAAAAAGCGCGTAGCTCCGGTGGCTTCCTAAATTTCGGAAGAGAGAACGTTCCAGACGGCCGCAAAAGCAAATCTGAAAACGCGCGACGGTGCGGTGACCACCGCCTTTTGTTCGATGGTCAGCCCAAGTCCGCCGCTGCCGCCGCTGCTGCTGCTGCTGCGATGAGCGGAGTTCGTATGACGATGGTTTACGTTTGTGGACTTGAGAACCCGGTTCAACCACAGGTCTCACACGTAGCCTACTACTCGGAGGCTCTCTGACACCGCCTTTCTCAACGAGAACGAGAAGTCACCCTAATCTCTGTTTTGCCTGTGATTTTTCGCTCCCCCCCCCCCCCCCCGTGAAACCAGTACAAACCGAATAAAATCGCATAACCAGTTACCAAGGGCCTTCTAACGCCAAATGTACAATCGGCTATGGGTGCAGGCATTGCCTCCATGGCTCTCAAGAATGGCCATGGCCCACAACCACACGGTAACAAAACGAATGCAGTGTCCTGTTGTCAATCCACTGCTGGATGGAGTGATCCTCGCGCCGCGTCTGTTTCGAGGCAACTCGCCGCTGAAGTTAAGCCCTGGGTGCGTAACGCAGTGCGTTGAACCACGCCACCTTTCCACCTATCTTACCAAACTAACATGAGTTTGAATCCCGAACCCGTCTAACGCCCATGGCCAGTGACATCTCATCCGGTCCGAGGGGGCCCTCCTTCCCTTCACCAATTTGCAAGGACCGGGGAAGGGGGGGGGGGTGAAGTATTGTCAAACAATCCCCATGACTCAACACTGCATGTGGAGGACTTCATCTAGCAGTGGATTGATTTAATGGCTGTGAATTAAGTTGTGGTCGCTCGTTCTCCGCTGCTGCCCCCAACGTCCGTGTTGTCAACTCCCTGCCACTGTTCAAGTGCGGCCTCCACGCCTTCATCCCCCCCCACCCCCTTTGCCTATGGCCAACTGCCTCTGTCTGTGGCTATAGCATTAATATGCCCACTGTTTCTTTGCAACATCTTGGTATATACGTTCACATTGTAGTGTGGAAATTATCCTATTAACTTATTATTGTACCTCCCTCTGGCCTCTCTCTCTCTATGCGCTGTGAAGAAGGCTCATTGCCCGAAACGTCGCCCAGTATATATTTTTATTTTTAAGGCCAATGTGTTTTTGAGGAATGTGAGTTGTTTTTTGCCATCCAAATACATGAACCCCGCCCCGCCTTCACCAAGCAGCACTGACCAGAATGGTGAAGTATGGTCACAAATAAACCAACCCCAAGACCCGCACGGCGTGCGGAAGCCCTCGCCCAGCAGTGCAATGACAAACGATGCGTAGAACGGTTCAATTCGCTTTACTTCTTATCCCGTACTTTTAATATCTTAAGTCTGTTTTTTTTTAAACTCACGTTTGTCCCAAGGCTGGAAAACCAGCGTATCCGGAGAAAGTCCACCACGTAACGCGGTAAAACTCACAACTCTGCACAATATTGATTTTCCCAATGCGTATAACACCTGGTGTTGACATGCAATCTCCCATTCCCAAGTGTTAAGTATAAACTGTAGAGAAACATCGATTCCTGATCATTTTCAACCATGATCAATCCACTGCTGGAATAAAGGCCTTCCGAATTCATGACCTTAAGTCAACGATGCTGCGATGGACTTCAATCCACTTGGATAGCTGCATGCACACGAGCTGGTTTCGTCGCTTCTTCCCTCCAGCGGTTCGACCTCTGCGTCCCCTTAGTTTAATTTACCGTATTTTTTATGCGTAATTCTACTTCTGAGACAATAATGGTAACGCATGTGTGTTGAACTTCTTTCGCACTGCACGTGACCAATCGTGCTAATCGTAGGTGTGCGAAATAATGATGACGATGAACATTGTTAAAAAACAAAAATCCCCCCGTTTCTTCTATTGTACCTCCCAAACAAATACATACACGCACAATTACATCCGATTTAACTCACCTTTTTCAACGGATCTCATAACAGGCAGATTCAATTCGGTTCCAGTCCTGCTGGAATGGATGGGTGGTCGTCCTCACCTCCTCTCTCTCTCTCAAGCCCGGTGCGCGAGTTCGTTCGACCGTCTCGGGTCGTTGCACCACCACCACCACCGCCGCCGCCGCAGGCTGTGTGTGTGGCTTTGGAGCGACTGAACTTTACACACGGACACACAGGTAAGGGGTGCGCGTTGTTACGTCACGCAGGTGTAGACCGTGGCATACAGTGCCAGGACCCTAAAGTAGAGAAATGCGGCAGAGTAAAAAGAAAATAAGTTGACCCCACGCACCTCCATTCAGGTGGGATAGAAACCCACCGTATGGGGTTTTATTTTGCCACAAATAAACCCCGTTGGGCAATACGTTTTTATTTTCGATGCTAACAAACCAGAGACTCGCGGCGATAGCAACAACAATAACAAAAAAACCATGAACGAAACGATCCCAAAAAACAATTTTCCATTGCCAAGCTCAATTAAATGCACAGACCCAGTGGTGAAATTCCATATTTTTTATGCAGGAATTGGTCCATCCATGTTGGCTTTATGAACAGCGTGGGTATGGTGATGATGATGACGCCTAACTGATGAAGAACGCATGATTTATGGCCTAACTGATGAAGAACGCATGATTTATAGTGCTAACCTACAATGCGTATCACTGATTAGTGATGATGATATCCCATGTACCCAGTCGGACAAAGTTATAGTGCAGAGGTGATTTGTGGAAATGGTGGTGGTAGTGATGATGATAACTGCTTACTAATGTGCGTCACTGGTCAATGATGAAGGTAATGATCAGTGATCAGTAATCGCGCTGATGGTAATTATTATTGTTCCGTGGTGATGCTACTCATTCGGGCGAGTCCATTTCAGACCATCACTCTCCACTGATGCATCGACGTGGTCTGGTATACAACTTGGCTGGCCGGATTTGGAGCGCGGCAAGCTTACCACCAACTAGCACTGACCAAAGTGGTGAAGTATGCTTAATCCCCACCCCCCGTCTCGACCGACACTGCGTGGGGAGGTTGCAGGACCGACTTGGCGAGACTTTCCTAGATAATTGAAATGTATTTTCGCCCGTTGAAGAACCACACATTTCGGAATGCGTCTGCCCAACATTCCACACCTGTGGGTTTTGTTTACAAAATGTGATGATGTTTACTGTGTGGTTCCATTTTTAAGTCGATAGGAATACGATCATGAATGTCCATGGCCTCTCCAGACCTTGTGTGGCTATTCAATAGTTAGTAATGAACTTCAAATCTAGTTAGTAAATTAAAGTTTACTTCCCCTTTTTGTCGATCGACTGCCGGACGAAGGCATTCCCACGCCGTCTTGCCGGTCGGCAAGGTGAGAGCGATCCGGTGCAGACACGTATGTTACTGAGTGTTGAACTTATTTCGCAACGTACGTAGGTAGCCCACCGTGCTTATCGGAGGCGCGGACGTGACTCGCCTCTCGTGTTTGCCGTGGCCAGGTCCATAGATAACGCGCCCGCCTTGCCGCATTCAATAATTTTAAAGTAAGCACAGTAATTTGGCCTCGGCAAGGTAAGGTAAAATGTAAAAGGTAAAAACAACGAGCCTACCTTTACCCTACCTTTTACCTTACCACAATACAATCACCCTACCCTTTCCTTTTACCCTTTAGCAAAGTAAGGTAAAAGGTCAAAAGCAACGAGCCTACTTTTTACCCTTACCCAATACAAATTACTCGATCACAGGTAAATGCGAGGTAGAGCGCTTTATTCATATAGAATACTCCCGATGATTCCAATTTTAAATGGAGGCCACGGACTGCGCCACGGAGCTTTTAGCGAGCGGTAAACAAGGAATTTACCGGGTAATACTTCACGCTACCTTTACCCTACCGGGTAATACTTCGCGCTACCTTTACCCTACCCTTTACCCTACCCCTTGGAATGTCGACACCTTTACCTAGTAAAACGGGTAAATTACCGTACCTTGCCGAGGCCTAACAGTAATCACATAACGATGATTTTATTACTCTTTGGTTCTATTCGGTAAAGTCACGTAGGTAAAAAATAAAATAACAAAAATCACGACGTTTCGGCCTACATGACTTTACAGAATAGAACCAAAGAGTATGGATCCTTGCAGTCACAAAAGCTTCAAATCTAGAAAAGATGATTTTATTATTATTTATTCACGGTTCCTGTTTAAAGAGGAAACTTCCACGAATTTTTTTGAAATGTCACCACCGGATTTCAACAAAGCCTCCCCCCCCCTCCGTGTTTTTTTTTTAAATCGCCACTTTGTGGTGGCTGCGGCTGGCGAGAACGTGGAGTGGGGGGAGGGGTGAGATGGTGACGTTTATATTTGAACTATTTTTGGGACGCGGTTAAGCCATAACTCAGGGCGCTGATGTTGAAATATTCAAAACGAGGCCGGTAAGCAAAGAAAGTCTTCTTGTCGGGTGTTTTCTATGTTCCGGGCCCGACGCTGCTGTAACAATCGGAGGCGCCTGTGTGCGCACAACATCGACTCGTTAACAATCGGGCCGGAAAGTCGCGTCTACCCCACGCGCTCCTAAGGTGGGGGGGGGGGGGAGCAACAAGAGCAAGCCGGCAAGCCAGTGGGTGTAGTGAGCTCAACCCCCCACCCCCCCTCCACCAAAACCCATTCCTCACCACGTCATCCACGACAACTTGACACGCTCGGTCAAGAACCCCCGCCGTAAAAGAGAACGGGCAAATCGAGGTGATAAGAGGCGATGTGTTGGGAGCATGGGGGCCCTCCCCTCCTCGTGGCGAAAATAATTATAATAATAATAATAATAATAGCTGGAGACTGCACAAAGACAAAGGAGACCCCCGTGTAGCCTGTTGGGGCAAGTGCTATTAGCGATGCACCTATGGCCAGCACCACGCCCGGGACGCCTTTGCCTCCCCTCGTGGCGATGTTTGCACACACCGCACTAGCTACTCATTGAGGCTGAGTCGACTTAGGGGAGGCCCGGGAACGGTTCAGGTAATCGTAAATAGTGTTGGCCGTGAGCGGGAATCGAACTCGGGTGGCCGGGTTCGTAGCGCAGCGCGCGAACCGCTACACTATCGCTCCCCACGCACGCACGCACAACTATGCAATTTGCATTCTTTTTTAACGGCGTCTCAACGTGTAGTCGTGAGTGTTTGCTGCGTAAAGTATTCGGACGCGTGAGTCACAGGGAAGAGGATGCGTACATGTCGTATTGTTTGTAAGTATTTTACTTATTTTATTTTTAGATGGGGACATGGTCAGGCATAGGCAGACAAGAGGAAGGTCCGAAGTCTACACCTGGAGAGGGGGGGAGGGGAAGGAGTCAACAGTACTGGAGACTGGGGGGAGTTCCACATCGTGTGTAGCAGTAGACGAGAACGAGATGCGTGTAGTGTAGCAGTTAGCGCGCAGCGCTACGAACCCGGCGACCCGAGGTCGATTCACTCTCACGGCTCCTAGGTCGACTTCTGCCTGAAATGAGTACCTTATGTGGTGTGTAAACATCACCACTGGGGAGACAAAGGCGGCCGGGCGTGGTGTTCGCCACCCACCCACACGTATGCCGTGCCGGCCTTCATAGGTGCTCGCTAACGGCACTTAGCGTCCTCTGGTCTAACACCGTTTGAGACGAGGCTGCAAAGAAAGCCGTCTCTGGTGTGGACCAATCAGTTTCAAAGACAATGCATCATATTATCAGAGCGTGTTTTTGTTTGCACAAGTATTGTGGTTAATGCAGACATGATTCCTTGTAAAAGGTTTCAGTTTGGTGTTTTAACACCTTAACACAACCTGTTTTGATGCCAGAAAAAAGGGGAAAAACCTCCTCTCATATTTTGGTACTGGCAAAGCAAGTCCCATGATCTTTGTGAATGTTCATTTGGCCCGAAAAAAAAGTGATTGGGAAATGGCTAACGATAATTAACATTTCCGCGTTAGATGAGCGGTTAACGATTGATTAGATACATATTCTGTACGTAATATGTTGTCCAAAATAGGACCCGTATCTGTAAGAGTTGGCAATTTCCCTGCATTAGTTGAAGTAAGCCAGACTGCAGATGAAACGCTATGTCGAAACGGCTCCGAAGTTGGCTTGCATCGAACCCATCCTACTGCTAATAATTATTATAATAATGCATTGCCACAGAGCCGTGCGGCCGATGGATTATATATCTACTCGTATATATTTTTTTTATGGGTGGACAGATATATGGTGACAGTCTGTTTATCTGCGTGTGCGTGTAGCGAGTGACGTCTGAATCCGGTCCTGGGTTTTCAACCCTTCGCCAACCCCCACTGACCAATGTGGTGAAGTATGGTCAGCCCCCCCCCCCCACCACCACCCCCCCCCTCGATTTACACTGCATGGGGAGGCTTTCATCCAGGAGTGGATTGAATAGAGGTTGTAAGAAACTTACAACCAAGTTAATTTATGAATGGATCATGGTCGGTGAGATTGTGACTATATTTCTTGGTTCTTTTGGTAAAGTCACGTAGAAGGGAAACAACATTTCAAATTAGAATTTTTTTTTTCAAATTTTCTTGCTGTGGTTTTCACACCTGATGATGATTGCTTGTGTTGCAGTCGAAACGTCGTGAGAATTTTTTTTTTTTTATTTTATTGTTTCCCTTCTACGTGACTTTACCGAAAGAACCAAGAATATGAATCCCTGCAGTCACGAAAGCTTTAAATCGAGATTGTGACTGTTAAATGATTGATGGCTAACACAATATTGATTAACAGTGGATAATGTTATATTTTTATTGATGCAAACACCACCTTCTTTGCCTTTTTGGTGGGCAAAATGTATAACGCGCATCTTTAAAATAATTAAAATTACAGAGCTGTGCCACCATCACGACGATGATGATGCAGCTGCTTCTATTGTTGGTGATTGTGATATTGTGAATGAATGATCGTGAGCAACCTATTGATAATTCTGCAGTGGATACTGATGATGATGATGGCGATGCCACTGAAATGCGGCTAACTCTATTTGATGATGATGATGTTGATGTCACTAACAATGCTGCTGCTACTCCTTCCGGCGCTGGTGCTGGTCGTGCTGATGGTGATGATGATGATTATTAATATGACTCTCACTGACAATACTGATACTTATTCTTGGTTCTTTCGGTAAAGTCAACGTGACTTTACCGAAAGAACCAAGAATATGAATCACTGCAGTCACGAAAGCTTTAAATAAAAAAAATACTGATACTGTTGCTGCATCCGATGCTGGTTGCCGCGGACGAACGTGATGAATGTATCTGCAGCCGCCGACTTGTGTCGCCCCCTTCTGTTGCTGCTGATCGTGGGGGGGGGGGGGGGGGGGGGGGGGATGACGATGACGAAGACTACGACGATGCGATAATGCAACCATGCTAACACATCATCCAGTATGTACGGGTATGTTGAACGTCTTTCGCACCGTACGTAGCCAACCGCGCTAATCGGAGGTAGTGGTGATGATGATGACGGCAGCGGCGGCGGTAAACCGCACTAGCAGAGCAGGTCATCGGTGTTGCTGATGATCGAGGCCTGGCCCCCGCTCTGCTGCGGGTGGCCGTGGGCCCCCTCGGCCGACGCGTCCGGAGGGCCCCGGAGGAGCGCGTGCCACGCGGCCACGGCCCTGCGGGGCGAGGCCAGCACGGCCGTCCAGTGGGCCAGCGCAGCTCCGCGACTTCGCGGCCCCAGCACCACGTGCCCAACGACCTCGGCACGGCCCCCCGGGCCGGGCGCGCGCTCAGCCACGGTCACGCGCACGCACACGTGCTGTGGTCGGCGGGAGATGGGGGGGGGAGAGATGGGGGCGGTGGTGTAGAGGTTAGCGCGCTGCGCTTCGAACCCGGCAACCCGAGTTTTATGCCCGCTCACGGCCCAACGCCACCGACGGTTATTTGGACCGATTCATGAGCCTCCCCTAGGTCGACTCAGACTCAAATTAGTAATTGGTGCGGTGTGTAAACCTCACCACGGGGGAGGCAAAGGCGGCCGGGTGTGGTGCTGGCCACCTTCCTCCTCGTGTGCCGTGCCGGCCTTCAAAAGGTGCTCACTAACAGCACTTGCTCCAACAGTCTGTGAAGGCTATACGGGGGATCTTTGTGCGTGTGTGTAAGTGTGTGTGTGTAGGTGTGTGTAGGTGTGTGTGTGTGTGTACGGGTGTGTACGTGTGTGTGTACGTGTGTCTGTGTGTGTACGTGTGTGTGTAGGTGTGTGTGTAGGTGTGTGTGTGTACGGGTGTGTACGTGTGTGTGTGTACATGTGTGTGTACGGGTGTGTACGTGTGTGTGTACGTGTGTCTGTGTGTGTGTACGTGTGTGTGTACGTGTGTTTGTGTGTGTGTGTGTGTGTACGCGTGTGTGTGTGTACGTGTGTTGTGTGTGTACGTGTGTGTGTACGTGTGTTGTGTGCGTGTACGTGTGTGTGTACGTGTCTGTGTGTATGTACATGTGTGTGTACGTGTGTCTGTGTGTACGTGTGTCTGTGTGTACGTGTGTCTGTGTGTGTGTGTATACGTGTGTCTGTGTGTGTGTACGTGTGTGTGCTGCGCAGAGAGAGGCTCACGGGGAGGCACGCGCGAGGCACGCTGAACGTGAAGGATTCGTTGTAGACTGGGCTCCTCTCATCCTTGCGCACAGCAGTGCGCACCTTGCTCACCTTGCGCCCCCCCTGAAGCAGGTACACCTTCACGTAGGGGTCTGCACGCAGTGGGACACCACCACCACAATAAATAACACCACCAATACACCACCGCACAACCCCACCACACACACGGCAACAAAGACCCCCCCCCCACCCCACCTCGTATAGCCTTAACAGACTATTGGGGCAAGTGTTGTTAAAGAGCACAGAATGAAGGCCGTAACGCCATTGTCTCCCTAGTGGCAATGTTTAAAACCATACCAGGTACTAATTTGAGGCTGAGTCGACCTAGGGGAGGCCCAGCACCCGTTCAGATAAGCGTCACTGGTGTTGGCCGTGAGCGGGAATTGGACACCACCAGTTTAACACGTAGGCTTTCGCGACCAATATCATCCATGATACAAATCTGGCTGCCGCCTGATGAAGCTAGTTCTACTGGTGAAACGTCGTTCCACTGTGCCACCACTCCACCGTCTCTCCAACACACCGGTGTCCTGTACTATTAACGAATTGGCACGTTCTGTCTACGTGACAAACCTTACTAGTTGGCTGTGTCGGGTGGTGGCGGGTTTAACGACACATTTATATATTTACGCGATCCAAACCAAAAAAAAACTCTTATGGATGAACACCACCACCACCACACAATGGTGGTCATCATGGGCCCGAGTTCAAGGAAATTAATGTGGACTCCCTGTCCACATTCAGACCACCCCACATCCCCCGCTAGAGCACCCTCTCTCTCTCTCCCCGTCACCTGAGCTCCCAGCCACCCAGTGGACCCCTGTGCGCTGCTGTGTAGGTCCGTGGCTCTCCACGTAGGCCATGTGACGTTGCGTGGTTGGCATGAGCCCTGGTGCAAGGAATGAAATGGAGTTCCCCCCCCCCAACCATCCCCCCCCCTACACTGCCGGGCACACGGTGGGAATATTGCTCGAAGGCATCGCTGCGGTCGACTGTGCTGTACACCGTCATCACTAAAGCCCCAACGGCAATCCACCGCTGGATGAAGGCCGCCCCGCGTCATGTCGAATCGTCAGGATTTGTTTGACCATACTTCACCGCGCTGGTCTGTTTACTGTTTGTGAAGGAGTGGGGGGGGGGGGGGGGCGGACCGGTTCAGACGTGTACTCCGATACTGATGCGAGGCGTGGCCTGCAATTCGAAATTTGGATCGTGAAAGATCTCGGCACGGTGTGTGCCGTTCCACTGTGCCACCACTCCACCGTCTATATAATATGGATCATTTTCTCACAGAAGGCATCAATGACATCCCATTGCTCATTTTTGGGAGGGGCCTGCCAGTGATGTTTGGCCAAGCCCTTATTTGGGAATTTTCAATGACATAGATTTCACTGTTAAACGGCAGTCGATTGATTCCCTACTCTTCTGCCTGCAGAGGTAATTAGTGGGGGGGTTAGGGCGGGTGGAGGGAGAGATGCCGACTCTCCCCTGCACCCCCAGGCTGCGCGTCCCCCCCCCCCCCCGCCCACCGGCAGAAGCCTTGTGCCCCAGCCACACGAGGTGCTGCGCCTTCACCACCACCACGGTCAGCCGCTCCGCTGTGGGGAGGTAATTCAGCGAGATGCGGATGTCTCCACAGCGCTCGGTCGCCTGGGTGGGGGGGGGGGTGTTGGAAGGGGTCGGGAGGGGTATAAACTCTATAACTATTTTTTTTATTTTACCAGGTAAGGCTCACTGAGCTGCTCAATGGGCCTCAACGAAGTGGCTTATCATCACGTGGGAAGTTACAGGAGCCAAATACTCTAAATGCGTGACGTTGATTCTAAAATGTGTGGGGGGGGGGGGGGGGGGGGGGGTGGGGGGGGACCGGAAGACCCGGAGAAAAGGGGAGACGTGTAAACTCCAAAATATACAGCAGCAGCAGGCGTCAGGGTCGGGATCGAACCCACGACCTCCTGCACACCAGGCGAGGTAGTTAACATCTCCTAGCCACCGTGATGATGATGAGAGAGAGAGAGACACGCAAACTCCAAAATATACAGCAGCAGCAGGCGTCAGGGTCGGGATCGAACCCACGACCTCCTGCACACCAGGCGAGGTAGTTAACATCTCCTAGCCACCGTGATGATGATGAGAGAGAGAGACACGCAAACTCCAAATATACAGTAGCAGCAGGCGTCAGGGTCGGGATCGAACCCACGACCTCCTGCACACCAGGCGAGGTAGTTAACATCTCCTAGCCACCGTGATGATGATGAGAGAGAGAGACGCGCAAACTCCAAATATACAGCAGCAGCAGGCGTCAGGGTCAGGATCGAACCCACGACCTCCTGTATCCCGGGCGAGGTAGTTAATATCTCCTAGCCACCGTGATGATGATGAGAGAGAGAGAGACACGCAAACTCCAAAATATACAGCAGCAACAGGCGTCAGGGTCAGGATCGAACCCACGACCTCCTGCATCCCGGGCGAGGTAGTTAATATCTCCTAGCCACCGTGATGATGATGAGAGAGAGAGAGACATGCAAACTCCAAATATACAGCAGCAGCTGGCGTCAGGGTCGGGATCGAACCCATGACCTCCTGGACACCAGGCGAGGTAGTTAATATCTCCTAGCCACCGTGATGATGATGAGAGAGAGACACGCAAACTCCAAAATATACAGCAGCAGGCGTCAGGGTCGGGATCGAACCCACGACCTCCTGCACACCAGGCGAGGTAGTTAACATCTCCTAGACACCGTGGCGCCCAGATGGGAGCAGAGACGAGAGGAAAAATAAGCCATCATTATTCGTATTGGACGGACGAAAGGGCACACAACAATAAAATGCAACAACGATGTGAGAAAATTATAAAGTTACGGGCAACGGCTATCGTGATAAGAGCATACCGGTCAACCCATACGGATTCTTGCCGTGTTCTTGTCGAGGGAAATTAAGTTTCCAGGTCCAAGCGGCGTACAGTCGTTTCAATGCGGACAAAAAAATGTTTGTCTATTTGTTTGTGATTCTCTCTTGTGGTGGGACTTTGTAGGATGGACGTTGAGACTTTACAGGGCACGGGGTGACCAATAAGATCTGAATTGGTCCGTAATAAGGTCGGGCACTGATAAGGGGTTGACAGGTTTGTAAGAGTCACATCGTTGAATTGTATATCGTTTGTGACAACATTAAGGATCGAACCAGTGCTTACTAAGTGGTGTGTGATGAATGGAGGAGAAACGTGGGAATTGATGGGGAGGGGAATGACATCGAGAGACGGAACGAGGAATGACATCGAGAGGAATGTCGCTTGGAATGACATCGAGAGACGGAACGAGGATTGCACGGATTGGAGAACGCACGCAGGTTCAATGTTAAGAAGAGTGGCCTCTGGCAGGAGACGATGGCGGATGGTGAAGAATCGTGATGGGGAGTGGCCGTCAAGGTGACACGGAACGCGTCCCAGGGGACGTCCAGCAAGGAGATGGGAGCGACGAAATCAGCTCGCGTGAAGGTGCGAGGTGGATCAGTGCATTCCGAGATCGTGAGAGATGGAGTTGGGGCTTGGGGCGGCCCAGGCAGTAGATTGGACCATGGCTGATGATGATTGTGGCAACCCAACGTCCACAAGCTCGCAGCGCCCTCGCCTGGCCAGACTTGCGCAGGAAGAGCCAGCTGACGAACGGCGCAACGTGGAGTTCCAATTCAGAGAGGCGCAGCTGCGCTTCTGGCGGGCGACCCTCGGGGTCTCCGGATGATTTCGTTTGCCCGCGGTGTCCGCCGGAGCCCACTCCGGCCTCACCCTCACACCGCACGCCGGAGAGGTGGAGGCGGCCTTGCTCCAGGTCGCCTTCTTCCATCGTCAGCGAGAACTCCTGGTCCAGCTCCAGGGTCGAGTTTGGGGGATCTGCAGCTGAGATCTGCGCGCGTGTGCGTGGGTGTGGGAGAGTGGGTGGGTGATTTCGTTTGCGCATTGCTCGTAGAGACCAGGAATCGGACCGCCTCTCCCAGATGAAGGTGAAGGCCTTTCGAGTGTTACATTTGAAGAAGTCAACTCTGCCCTTTGCAGCACTGTACAGTATATAAAAAAAGGGAAGGACCCCTGGACCAGATGGTATAACCGTGGACATCGTCAAAGAAGCAGACCCCGTTGCACAAAATGTTTACGCAAATAAAATTCTGCGATCATTGAAACGATGCCTCGATCGCGATGCTATTGCAATTTCTGAGGGCAAAAAAAAATATCACTCGAATCATCATCATCATCTCACCTTACCACATCTACTCACCTGCATACTGTCCACCCACATCGAACCACATCTCAGACAAGCCTCACCACTCCTCACCGCATTACATACCAGCGCATCAACTTCTCACCTGTACAGTCCAACCAAATCCCTCCACAACCCACCTCACCACATCCCACTGCATCACACCGCATCGCACCACACCTCACCACATCACGCCGCCCATCATCGCACCTACCCGCTTACCTGTTCGGTCATCCACGCCTCACCACTGCCACGCACACTCACCTGTACGTCCGTCAACCCTCATCACACACCACATGTCACACCGCCTCGCTACACCTCGCCACTCACCTGCGCGCTGTCGCCCAGGTGAATGGCTCCGCTTTGCCCCAGCAGCGTGAGCCGGACCCTCCACGGAGCCGCAGCTGCGTCCACGGAGCCGCGCGCTCTGAGCAACGAGACCCGCAGCTCCGAGCCACCGCCCCGCTCCTCCTGCTCGCATTGCACGGCCACCTCCACCCTGGGATCGCACTCCCCCATCTCGCCGCCGCCGTCGTCTTGGAAGCCGAAATCGGGCGCCACGGAGGACACGGAGGAGACGGAGTCGGCGGAGGCGGAGCGGGAGAGCGGCGGGGGGCCTCGCGCCCGGCCCGCGGAGCCGTCCATCGCCTCGTAGCCGTGGCGCAAGAAGAGGACGCGCAGAGGGGAGGTCGCGCAGGATCGGCGACCCCCGGTCTCGTACCAGCGGTCCGCAGACTCGTCAAAGGATGGACGCTGTCGGAGGAGGGGGGGGGGGGTGGATGGGGGATGGGGGGTGCACACAGCGGTATCAATCTTGAGTCCAGCACGGTGGGAACCCGGGACAAGTTGGGATGAAGTCCGCAGTGATCAGTGCCCAAGACGACGTTGGTGTTTTTGTCTGTTGTGTTTTTGTTGCTGCTGCTGCTGCGGTGCTCGCGCACCACGGATCTGCCGTGTGGAAATCGGCGGGCAAATCGGCGAAACAAATCCAATAAACTGAGCACTCAGACCACGTGCCTAACGGGCACGGCGGGCGGGCGTTTTAAATTCGCGCTTACAATTGCCCCAGAGGGTGGCTTCTCGTTTGAATTTCTACGTGAAAGAAACGGCCACCGTTTTCCAGCAGCGTTGTTCTGCATTGGGTGACCCTCCCACCCCCCCCCGGGGGGAATTGGCGAGCTAGAGAAGAAAGGGCTGGGGTGGTGTGTCGGGCATTCTGCCCGCTTCTTCGCCTGCCAACTCGATCCGTCGTCGGTGCCTTGTGGCCGAGTGTTGACGACGCCCTCTCTACTATCGCGGTGTTTTTTTTTGCGTGCAATAATACAAACGGTGGGTGTTTGACACTTTTTTTGTAATTGTGACGGTTCGTGCCCGGTGGATATTTAGTGATGTTATTAGGGGTGGGGAACCCGCGATCCGTGGGCAACACACGGCCCGTGACCTCGCTTCATATGACCCATGGCTACATAAACGCCCAGCGAACCATATTTATCCAAACCGTTCCATGATGTATGTACGATGAACTTCTTTCACACCGTACGTCACCAACCGTGGCAATTGGAGGCGCGGGGGAAGTACAACAAGCTAAAGACAAAAAGCAGTTCTAACTAAATATCTTTTCAATCTAGATGATTTATAAGTGCATAGCTCCAGTGGCTTCCTAACATCGGAAGGAAGAGCGTTCCAGACGGCCGCAGAAGCGCATCTGAAAGCGCTACGCGACGCGGCGACCGTCTTTGTACGATGGCCACTCAAAATCCGCCGATGCGTCTTTCGGGTTGTACCGCGGGTTACTCGGCACGACGTCAGACGTTTCGCTCCGTATTTTGAGAGCTTCTCCAGCACCTTTGTCACGAAACGTCGGACATCTTGCCGAACAACACGCGGAACAACTCTGAAACATATGCAGTGCATAGACACAGCACGAGCGTGAACGCGTAAGACATCAGGGGGGGGGAGAAACTCGGCTGCTCCCATTAGTCATGTCGCTCCGAGATCCTGCTTGTCATTGATGTAAACGGGGTATTATGGGTTAGTTTGTTGTCGAACTTCTTCAATCCCCTTCGCCTCTGTCTACCCAGCAGTGTCAATGGGTACGCGCCACTGCAGGGCGTGTGTGGTGGGGGTAAAGTGTGAGGCCTCTCACCCCCTTCCAAGACATTCTGGCCAAATCTCCTTCTAGACGGGCTCTCTAGAGGGCATTGCCAGAAGTGCAGTGGAGGGCGACGAGTGGGTGGGACAGACGGGAGGGGGGGGGGCACATTTTCATTCGTTGCACCAGGGCTCTATGATGCCAACCGCACCACGCCACCGCTGCGTTGGATAATTACTTGGAGGGGGCTGCGGGGGGCGTGCGAACCTCGAGTTGGGCTATCGCTGAGACCATGGGTTCCAATATGAGCGAGTTGATGGCCTCAGCCTGGTCACCCAATGTCTATACCATGAAAAAATAACTCGTAATTTTTTAAAAGTAGTTTTCCAATTGATTTGGCATACGTGAGAGGGCATTTCAAGAGGGTATTTCGCGCTATTGCTAAGAGGGCCATTGATTGTGGGAGGGCATACGCTGTGAAGACATTGTTGTAAGAGTGTGGCAGTGCAGTAGGACGAGACAGCATTTATAGAGGGTACTGCGGTGGGAGTCGGGGGGCGAGGGGAAGGAGGGGAGGCAAGGGGGTCACTCACCTTGCCGTGGGGCCGGGACCCATCGCGGCCATACTTGGCCTCCAGGTAGCGGTGATCGAAGTTGGGGAAGGGCACGGTGGTCGGCCGTCGGCCCTTGCGAAGCAGCCGCCACGCGCTCGTCGCGACGGTCACGAGCAGAGCCACGGCGCCCAGGGCCACCACGAGGCCTTCCCAGCGCGCGGGCCTCTCAGTAACTGAGGCACAGGAGGGGGGGGGGAGGGCACACACACACTGTGTGCCTTCTAGATATATAGAATTTTTTGTTGTATTGATATATTTATTTTAAACCGTACCTGATGCACAAATTGAAAATTAAAAACTCTCCGGCAGTGTGCGACTGTGGTCATCCGGAACAGACGGTGACAACGTAGAACTTTATTTTTTACCTACGTGACTTTACCGAATAGAACCAAAGAGTATGGATCCTTGCAGTCACGAAAGCTTCAAATCTAGAAACGTAGAACGACGCGATGCCCCGATCCACAAATACGAAGGAGGCATCGCAGCGATGCAACTCCACTGCTGCTCCTCACGCAGTCATCTGGCTGGACCAACTGAATGTTAAAAATTGTCGTCGTGGAAACGCATCTACATCATCCATACGAAAGAAAAAATATTCCTTTTAAATAGATACTGTATGTATTTCCCCCAATTGTGGAGCATTTTATTTTAAATAAATGTCGCCATCGTCCTGCCAACTATTTATCCAGAAAATATACTAAGTCTAAAATGTTTTGCAACAATTGCGTGTTTCACGTGCGCACGCACGTGCGGAACTTATTGCGCGCCGCCGTACGTGGCAGGCAAGCCAAGTGCCCGTAGAAAACTCGCCGTGCATACCCCCGCACAGATGAATTCGAGAATCGCATTTCTGCACTGCAACTTTCGGGGCCAAATCGTTTGCTCAGAGGTTTTGCGAATGTTACAAATCTACACGCTTGGCGACCTTAGCCTGAAAAGCGACATATTGAAGGAGTGCACCACATTTCCCGTCATCATCAATTGTGATTTTTTCAATTCTATTTGTCTAATGATGATGATCGTAATTAGTTCATTCTAATGAACTATCGTGATGATGACCGACTTATGATCATGATCACCACCTGATAACTATTCATGATGATAATGTAGTACGTATGGTGAACTTTTTTTTTATCACAGCCAACCCCGCTGTCCGGATGCAATCGCGATAATAGACTTCTTCTCATTGAATTCCTGATCATAATGGTGATAATTGCACCTTGGCGTGATGATGACGTGTGGGTGAATGCCAACAAATCGTGCATCGGTCGAGCACCGCTGGCGTACACGAAGGCCACCACTATTTGATGTTCATCGCCGATGAACATCAAAGCGCGCGGGACAATTAACTCACCGCTCGCGTGGTATCGCAGAATTGGCGACTCCATGAGTGGCCCCTTGCTCTTCCTCCTGGGTCTCCCTGCCGTGCCCCTCTTTTATAGATGAGCCGCGTTCACTTGGACCGGGGTGGGGAGTGGGGTACTGGAGATTGCGGCTGCGGCAGTGGTGATGGTGGTGGTGCAAGCTCGTTCTTACTGCTCACATAGACAGAATTTGCGTCCAAGAGAGAGAGAGCGAGCTAATGGGATTGCCTGTCCACGATTAGTGAATGCGAAACGGCCATTAGCGCTGATGAGACGGAGACTTGTGTTATATCACAGCGGCTGGCCTGAGATCTCAAAAGCGATGCGTCGTCAACGCTTCACGACCCCTGTCGTTGCTTCGTCGGCGACATCATCGGCGATGATCAATTTCCACCGCCGCACGAGGGGCCTTCTCCGCTCAAGCCTTCGCTATTCCCCTTTTTTGCGGGGTCCTGCGATGCAACGAATTCGGGCAGCACCTGCACGTGCGTTGGTGTCGTCGCCCCCCATCTCCCCGCGCCGAATGCATTCCCACGGCGGGTTGCCTCCTTCGGCCGCCACTCGCGGTTGCTATTTTCTCCCCCCTGATAGCGACGTGCCCAGCCCCACGCCCAAGCCAGCAGACAGAATTGTGGCTTTAACCTGCGCGCGTTTCCTGCCGTCATTTAAAGTTTAAATTCAGTGGCCTACGTTGGCCGTGGGGTGCAGGTACGAATACACAACAACAACAACAAAAGCACCAGTCACCTGGCGAAGGATAATTGTTGATGACAAAGGTGCGCTTTGCATCGTGCCACGAGCTAAAATATCCGTAAGAAATCCCACCGAGCGGTGCATCACCGCGTGCCTCGGAGAATGCCACGTAAAATTAGATACTACAGAACTACTTCTGAGATCCCTTCAAGTTTCGCTCTTTAATTCACACTCGGGGGGGGGGGGGGGTGCTGCAATGCACCACGCATCCTGGTGCACAGGAATGTTCGTTGCGTGACGGTTGTTTGTTAAATGTAAGTGCAAAACCAGATGCTATCTATTTCTGCACGCCATCCATTTGGCGGACAGGGCTGAGGGCACAACTCTTGCTGCATTCCAGAGCCCAGGTTTAATCATGGGTGGTTCTTAAACTGGACGCATAGGCAGAATCTCAGTAGAGCCAACTCGGTGAGCCACCCAGGCACTTGAATTATTACTATTATTGGTTATTGTTGATTATTATGAGTAGGGACGAAGGAGCCAAAGGAGATGGACCCCCCCACTCCAATTTTGTAAACCCAGGGCACTGCCAACCCCTTAACAGGTATCTTTAACCACTTCCTGTACGAACGATGGTGACTGACGGATAGAAGCATTAATGGTGTTCAAAAAAGGTCTATAAATCTGACATGTGCAACAAATACTTTGATGAGTCGGTGACACGGCCCAGCAGTAGCGCGTTCGCCACTTATTGCACGAGGTTCACGGTTCGAATCCCAGCGGCCGCCCTGATTAATACTTCGGTGTGTGTGCGGATTAACCATAAACGTACTGCGTGCACGTTAAAGAGCCAGTGACGTCATTGCGGAAGAGTACGCCTTTGCGTGCGGTGGCATGGTCCAAATTTGAAAGAAATAAGAAAGCAATCGGGATAACGCATGGCAACGATTGCGTGAAACTGCGAAAGCTCAGCCGGACCCTCCTGAGTAAGAGTCAAGTGAGGCTGTCATGGCTTAAGCAAGCTGGGGGGGGGCGAACCCTAAAATGTAAACTTATGAATATCGATCACCCAAAACATTTGGCCCTGAGGTTGATTAGGTTTATTTATAGGGGCAGGGGCAGCATGAAATTCTACATCACCGTAAGTCTCCTTCAACATGTATGATGTACGATCCCCAATCTTCAGTGATCCAAGCAACTTTTCCACCTTTGGAGTGTGACGTTCCAGCCAATAGTAGGAAATTCCCACTTCCGGGTATACTACATATCACAAAATATATAATAAACACGTGAACACAAACGAAATGTTCTTAGGTGGCAAGGAAATTGAAATGCAGTACTATAAAAAATAGATTATTGCATCCATCTGTGTGGAGCTTGGAGCGTTAGCCCCCCCGTGTGTGCGCGGTGTGTTTTCTCCCAGGATGTTTCGTTTCCTTTCACACGAAGCCAATGCAGAACCCTCGTGGGGAAAAAAGAGTATTGGGGCTGGGCTGAGGCTTCCCTAGGTGGTAAAGAGCGTTACTATACATTGGAGGTGAGAGTGACGCAGCGGTTAAGCGCATTGCGTCATGAAGCGTCCGGGCTACGGCTCACGCCACTGTGAGTAGCGTCTGCACCCAGTCCCTCGAGGACTCTCAGCACGAGTCCACATGGACCAGCGTGGTGAAGTATGGGGCCGTTCATAAATGACGTCACGCACCAAGGGGGGTCAGACATTTGTGACGATGTGTGACGATGGGGGGGGAGGAACGTGACGTCACATCAAAATGCGCAACTTTAAATAAATACAAACAACACGTTCTACTTAATTAAATATACTTTTTTTTTTAATAAATGTTTTCTCCTACAACATCAGAGTGCAACGCCACATTAAATACGCACTACAATGACAATAGTTTAAAGCGATTTGAAGCATGTTTTATATTTTGGGGGGGGGGGGGGGGCAGAGCTTTGTGACGTCATATTTGAGGGGGGGGTCTGACTTTTTGTGACGCCGCGTGACGATGGGGGGGGGGGGGTCAAAATTCGTCCAAAATCGCGTGACGTCATTTTTGGACGGCCCGATGGTCAAACAACCCCAGATCGATCGGACACGGCCCAGGAAAGACCTCCCGCAGTGGACTGATGAAGGACGTCAAGTACAATAATATTCATGTTAGCCTTAACAACAGAGTACGATGGGCAATTCATCCTCAGCCCATCGACTGAGGCTCGGGCTATCGAATGTCGTTCGGAGCCACGCGCTCACTCTGTGCAATTATACACTTTTGCTTGCGAAGCATGGCTAGAGAGAGAAGGACGGGGGGTTTGCGGTGAGAGGCATAAAACTAGAGGAACTAATTCATTAAGTGTCCTTATTCAATTCCACCATAAATCTCTGGAGCCGGGCAGCTTAAATCACTGTGACTTGCGCGCCTGTGTGTGTGTAATGTGTTAGCAGGCTTGGGTCAGGGGTTCAGGGTTAGGTTAGCTGAATGTAAATAAATAAAAAGGTTGTGTTCATTTGCTGTTCTATGAATGTAATATTTTCCTAGTACCATGAATGTAGTTTGTGTTATCAGCAGCCATGGTCTGTCCATTGCCGAATTATTTAATAATATATGTGGCACACTTGAATATATTTGAGATGCAGCGGTGGTGCAGTGGTTTGCTCACTGCACTCCGAACTCCGTGACGTAAGTTTGATTCCCATCCACGGCTAACACCAGTGGACAGTCACACCTGCACAGATCCTAGGCTCCTGCCCCCCCCCCCCGCCTCCCCCTTCACCAACACGCACTGACCAGCGTGGTGAAGTATGGTCAAATAACCTCCATGAGCGACACGGCGCAGGGAGCCTTTCATCCAGCAGTGGATTGTCTAAGCGACGTGTATTTTTTATTAATACATTCAGCCGCCAGTTGATTAATCACTGACAGATATTGGAAACTTTCAAATCTGCTGGGTGGCGATATTGTCGGGAGATGGCAGTACAGCAAGTGGGTTCTTTAATAATTATAAGCGAAGCATTTGAGTGTAATCCCCTCGTCGTATGCTTGCTGATTTTTCTCTGGGAACTCCGGTTTCCTCACACAGCAAGCCACTCCTTCATAGAATTTGGCCAAACATCCCAATGTGTCGATATTTTCCCGGATAAATGGCACTCAGTTTCTACCCGGGCTGCACCGATAACCCCAAAACAACCCGGGCTGCAGCGAGAAACCCAAAACAACCCGGGCTGCACCAGGAACCCCAAAACAACCCGGGCTGCACAGAGAACCCCAAAACAACCCGGGCTGCACCGAGAACCCCAAAACAACCCGGGCTGCACAAAGAACCCCAAAACAACCCGGGCTGCACAGAGAACCCCAAAACAACCCGGGCTGCACAGAGAACCCCAAAACAACCCGGGCTGCACCAGGAACCCCAAAACAACCCGGGCTGCACCAGGAACCCCAAAACAACCCGAGCTGCACCAGGAACCCCAAAACAACCCGGGCTGCACAGAGAACCCCAAAACAACCCGGGCTGCACAGAGAAACCCAAAACAACCCGGGCTGAAGCGAGAACCCCAAAACAACCCGGGCTGCACAGAGAAACCCAAAACAACCCGGCTGCACAAAGAACCCCAAAACAACCCGGGCTGAAGCGAGAACCCCAAAACAACCCGGGCTGCACCAGGAACCCCAAAACAACCCGGGCTGCACAAAGAACCCCAAAACAACCCGGGTTGCACCAGGAACCCCAAAACAACCCGGGCTGCACAGAGAAACCCAAAACAACCCGGGCTGCACCAGGAACCCCAAAACAACCCGGGCTGCACCAGGAACCCCAAAACAACCCGGGCTGCACCAGGAACCCCAAAACAACCCGGGCTGCACAAAGAACCCCAAAACAACCCGGGTTGCACCAGGAACCCCAAAACAACCTGGGCTGCACAGAGAACCCCAAAACAACCCGGGCTGCACCAGGAACCCCAAAACAACCCGGGCTGCACCAGGAACCCCAAAACAACCCGGGCTGCACCAGGAACCCCAAAACAACCCGGGCTGCACCAGGAACCCCAAAACAACCCGGGCTGCACAAAGAACCCCAAAACAACCCGGGTTGCACCAGGAACCCCAAAACAACCTGGGCTGCACAGAGAAACCCAAAACAACCCGGGCTGCACCAGGAACCCCAAAACAACCCGGGTTGCACAGAGAACCCCAAAACAACCCGGGCTGCACAGAGAAACCAAAAACAACCCGGGCTGCACAAAGAAAGCCAGTGCAACTCAGGCTGCCCTTGAAAGTACCGACCACCGCTCGAGGCAATGCAAGCCCATGCAGGGCGTGTGAGGACACGTGGCTCTATAAGTTATATGCTTATTCTTGGTTCTTTCGGTAAAGTCACGTAGAAGGGAAACAATAAAATAATTTAATTGTTTTATATTTTTATTATTTTATTGTTTCCCTTCTACGTGACTTTACCGAAAGAACCACGAATATGAATCCCTGCAGTCACGAAAGCTTTAAATCAAAATGTTGTATGCTGTTTGTTC